AGGAAATTACAATGAGGTTAAGAGGCTCTTGGACAGTGTTTAAATGTATGTTTGTCTGATGTTCCCAAACTGCAAAGGCTAAAAGCAATGCGCTATTAAAAATTCTGTCCAAATGATGAGGCTAAATTTAAGGCTAGGCATCTCTGGAGTAGTAAGATCTCAAAGGACTCTGTGTCTGGATGATAGTGGTATGTGTCTCTCTGCTTTTCCAACTCCATTTTATCACAAGTATTGTGGTAATGAAATCCCAGTTCGTAGTCATGTGGGAATCCACACTTTCACTTTTTCAGGAATGAGGAAAGGTGGAGTGACCATGGAGCTGTAATTTCTGGGCACTGAAGGGAGCAGCAGCCCTACTCCTCCTTACTTATGTGGATGCTGTCTGCTGTATGAGAGATTTTCCCCAAACTGCATGTACAGAACCATAGAGGCAACAAACTTTCCAGGTCTTTTAGGCAAAGATACACGGTTTTTTCCTCACTAACACAAGCATAAGATGTATTCTCTGATTCTTTTTTTTTTTTTAGGTACTTCCTTCCATGCATTTAAGGTACAGAGCTGTAATACTAATCTGTTCTGAAAGTTACTGGCAACCCTCTCCATTCTGTGCTACTGTCTTAGAAGGAGAAAGATAAATCAAAGATCTCCCTAAGCACAAAACTTTGAACTTGTCAGATCCTGGGAAGTGAAGCTGGCACATTTTGCTTTTAAGAGTGTAAATGGCTCATGATTGTGGAAGTACATTTTTTTTTTGGTCTGAATGTGCTGATCTTTTTATGAAGGGAGACCTTCCCCTCCATTTCTGAAGTACCTCCATAAAAAAAAACCCAAAAAACCACTTCAGAGGCTTCTTTTTAAAGGGTCCTGGAGATTAAATGGAAGGGCTGTGCTATGACCTGAGGGCATCTTTTGATAGCTGCCCCAACAGGTGCTAAAGGACTGGATTCAGTGTTAAAGATAATCTTCTGAAGCTCTGAGTGCTCTTTTCTTCTATTTCTAATAGTGAGCAAAGTTTTTAGTCGTTATTTGAGATTCTGTTTTGCATTTTTTTCTGCAGAAGAATGAAAGTTTCTCCGCAGTGATAATTAGTGCTCTCATTTGCAGGTGCATGTTTGTGCTTTATGGTAACACTTCAATAATTTTGCTCACTGCGAAAGGAAAATAAGGGAGGTAAGCTTTCCTGTCTCTTGCCAGTAGCTGCCAATGCTTGCTATGGTTTCAAGAACGTTTGTATTAAGGTTTCCTCAGTGGTATCTGCTCTGCTGATGACGTTTTATGCAGCAGCTACACATTTCAAAGAAAGGTGGTATGCCAGGGTTTGGTCTCTGTGTATTTTATTAGAGTCAACTAGAATTGCTGGCCATGGATGCTTCTACATGCAGGCTGGGAACACCACAAAGACTTGAAGGTAAGGTGTGTGAATTAACCTCCTAGGCCTTTGCAGTGCTTATTTCCCCCTTCTACTCCTCTCTGATACTACAGTGTATTTGTTGTCCTTTGCTTTTCTGGCATCTGATCATTGATAGCAGTAGTAGTGGAAAAAAATGCTTTTGTTGTTGTTGTTGAAATCCACTGAAATACTTCTAGATATTTCAGTTAGAGATGCTTCTTTTGTGGCTCAGATCCACGTTAAACTCTGCATGACCCTACTTCACAAATGTTAAACGCTACTTCAATGTAACTTTCTTAATATCCTAACATACCATGGGCAGTTTTTGTACAGCTGAATAAGGACTTGATTCGGCTTGGGTATGGTGTACATGTATATATTATTTTACCCTGATCATACCTCTTCTAGTTTCCAGAGTATTCTACCCTTGGGAAGACTTCCTGTTTGTGCTATAATTTATCAACATGTTAACATCTGGCTTTGTAAATTCCTTATATTCCTTATATTCTCCAGGTGCATAAGAGCATCTGTAGTTCATCCTTTTGGGAGCAAATGTGGAAACTGTGTTGCATATGTCTTTAAAAAGAACAAAAGTGTACAATCTGCTTCCTATTTATTCATGTTGCTTGGTGATCCTATAGAAATGCACAGTAAAAGTAAAGCATTTATTGAAATTTGTAGCCCCACAGACTTCCTGCCATAGACTTTCCTATGTCACTTATCTTTTGGCTATGAGCCCACCATGTAAAGCTGTGTATTTACTATATCATTAGAAGTTTGGGTGTCATCATCTCCTGACATGTGACAGCCAGTGCAGGGAGGTGTGTGTGATCCCAGGCATGGGAAATGAAGATAGCTGCTAAACACCTTCCCTGGGTTGGGCTGTGTCTGCTCCTGATGAGGTCATTCATATATAAAGTAATCTGACAGGAAGCGTCTCATAGGAATGTTTCCTTCACTGATGGGAATATACATTCTTTATTGTTCTTCAGGATCATGGAGACTTTAAACACCATATGTTTCATGGACACACAAAAAATAGAAATTGTTTTAAAATCTGAATGAAGATATTGATACTTGAAAATGGTTTTTGCTTAGTTTAAATCAAGTGGACTTTATTCCTTTTATGAGTTGATAACAGATCTTTAGTGCATGAATGTGGTTTTATCACTCTGATTTCCTTTCATTTCGGACTTCAAATCTCTTGTCTAAAAATCAGTTTTGCCTGCCCTGCTGCCTGGTCTATCCAGTTTGATACAGAGGATTCCACAAGGGGCAGTGGTAGGAGGAGCATTCTTGGTATTTTACTCGATATTGTGGTTTTCTGATGCTGCTCAGAGTGCTTTCCTGGCAGGTAAATATTAATGAAGAGAAGGCAAATGAGGTGATTGCTGGGGTGTGAAGGAAGTCATACATGTCAACACTGCTGTTTGGTTGTGGTCTAATTGCACTTGTAGAAAGCTACATTTCATATTACACTAAGGAATGTTAACCAGTTATTCAAAAGAAAAAAGACTCTATTTTTTTCTTTTTGCAGCAGGTAGTAGATGCATGGAAGTCCTTGCCAGCAGTGATTTACAGGCAGAAGCTGCCATGGATTCAGTGAAAGCTGACTTGGAGAAGTGCTTGGAGAAGTGATCTGCTGAGGGTTACTAAGCAGATGCATCACATCCTGTTTGGAAAATCTGATTAAGTAGTTGGAGGTTTGTAGAATACTTGGGGGAAGCATCTTACTGTGAATTCCCCGTTGGGCCAGAAGGAAGTCAATGCAGGGAGGCCGTGACCTGGTAGAGCAGGTAGGAGGCTAGGCTGAGCTAGATGGAACATATGGCCTGAGGCAATGCCTCCTTTCTTATGATCTGTTTCTCCTCATCTTATGGCTGCTGTCTGGAAACACTACAGAAGTGCAGCTCAGGCATGCCAAACTATCCCTGCCATGCTTGCTGCTCATCTCTTCATTCTTTTTCCTTTGTACTCCTTACTATAATCTTGCTGTTTCTTCTCTGTGCCTGGCCTAGAGAGAAGGCCTGTACCCCACATTTGAGTCCCCAGGTTCCATTTTTTCTCTGCCGAGTTTCCATAGTCATCCCATACTGCAGTTAGCGTGTGCATGGAGAAATGGGGCTGCAGCAGCTGAAGAGTGACCTGCAGCTAAATCTCTGTGCAACAGTCTTTCTGGGAAGGAAGGCAAAAGGGGTTTCCACTGTGTTTGACACAAGTGATACTTGGTAATAGCAGTATGGGAAATGAGCGTGGGTGTGGGGCGTAATAACAGAGGTTTGCTGAATTTTTCCTTTATTCTGATGCTGCCTACTGTGCTTTCTATCAAATACTGTTTTAATGAGAAACTTTGTCATGGGCCAAATGATTAAGATTGATGGTTGGCTAAAAGCTGCCTTAAGACAAACTTTATGCTCATTTTTTTTACAAGTTGTGCCACTTACACAAAATGTTCTCAGTTTAATACTGGACTGGGCAGAGATGGGTGTACTGTGCCCTCGGAAGCTGCTGGAAGGCAGGAGGGATGTGGTGAGGTGCCCAGCCATCTCTGCCCTTGCTGCCAGCTGCCCAGCCCAAAGCTGGGTCTTGATAGCTGGTGGTTTCAGGGGTGCAAACCAGGCATTGCCCCTTGGCTTATCATCTGTGCTGGGCAGCTTGAAGCAAGAGGTAATAGCCAGGAGCAGCAGGAGCCAGCTCTGGCCTCTCATCCGGTTCCAGGTGCGGTTCGCTCTCCTCAGCCCTGATGCCCACTGGAAAGGCTGGGAGTGAGCGGGGCCTTCCCCTGGGGCGCCTTCACAGAATCACAGAATCAATTAAGTTGAAAGAGGCCTCTGAGATCATCGAGTCCAACCTATAACCAAACACCACCACATAACTAGACCATGGCACTACGTGCAATGTCCAGTCTGTCCTTAAACACCTCCAGGGACGGTTACTCCACCACCTCCCCGGGCAAACCATTCCAATATCTAATCCTCCTTTCTGTGGAGGAATTCTTCCTGATGTCCAACCTAAACTCCCCTGGTGCAGCTTAAGATTGTGTCCTCTCGTCCTGTCACTGGCTGCCCGGGAGAAGAGACCAACCCCCACCTGGCTAAAGCCTCCTATCAGGTAGTTGTAGAGAGCGATAAGGTCACCCCTGAGCCTCCTCTTCTCCAGGATAAACAACCCCAGCTCCCTCAGCCGCTCCTCACAGGACTTGTGCTCTAGACCCTCCACCAGCCCTGTTGCTGTTTTTCCTTCCCCCGCGGCCGCTTCCCGCTCGCTCCCCGGGCAGGGGGCGGCTCTGCCGGCGCAGCTGGCAGGAAGGCCCGGGGCGGGCAGGGAGGGAAGGGGAAGAGGCGGGGCCTGGAGCCCAGCAGTGTCAATAATACAATAGGGCTCTTGTGCGGCCGACGCCGCCGGAGGAGGAGCGGGCCGGGCTGCGGGCGCGCCGAGCACCCGGCACGCAGGGCGGGAGGTGCCGCCGGCCACGGGCCCGGGCGGGCGGGCGGGGGCGATGCGCGGCGGCGCCGGACGGCACCAGCAGCAGCCGCCGCCACTGCCGCGGCGGGAGCGCCAGCCCTGACGGCCGCGGCCGCCCACGCCGGTGAGCACGGCAGGAGCAGGAGGAGGAGGAGGCGGCGGCGCGCCGGGCCGAGCCGGCGGCGGGAGGTGAGCGCGGCCCGGGCCGCCCGCATGGAGGCGGGGCGGGGGGCGGGCGTCGGGGCCGCCGCGCCGGGCCTGTGCGCGGGGGAGGCGCCGGGCCTGCGGCGGCGGCGTTTGGCGCCAAGGCCGGGCAGGAGGGAGGAGGAAGCGGCGGCGGCGAGCGCGGGGAGGCGGCGGGTGCTGCGGGTACGTGGAGCGCCGGCGGAGCACGGCGGAGGGCGGGAGGGCGGGCGGACAGCATCCCCCGGGCGGCGCGGCGGGCAGCCCGTCCGGCGTGGGCGCTGCGGCCCCGGCCGCGTCCGGAGGGAAAAGTTGCGGCGGCTCCGGAGCCGGGCGGGCGCTGCGCCCGCGGCGGGCGGCAGGAGCTGGGCGGCCACCGGCCAAGCGCCCTTTTGTTCGCCGCAGCCCGGAGAGGCGGCGACCCGGCGGTGCCCGAGCCGGCGGGGCCCTGCGGAGCGCGGCTGGGCGTGGCGGGCGGGCAGACAGACAGACAGACAGACACAGCCGGGCGCTTGTCCGCCGCCGAGCACCGCTCCGCCGGTGTGTCGAGGAACTTGCTAGAACTGAGTTTGACAATGAAGCACTAGCGCAGCCCTACCGCCTGCCCGGCCAAGGTAAGTTTTATCCTGGGCGGCAGGGGCGGATGGCGCCCCAGTGCCCCCGTGCCTGTAGGGAGAGGAACGGGAAGGTCCCGACTTCAGTTCTCCAAATCAAACCTTCCTCCCTTGCATCGTGTTTGCTTTAATGCTGCTCATCTTTCTGCAAAGGCATGGCTTCGTCCTACGGACGTACAGCGGCCGGGGGATGTATCATAAGTAACACTTGCAAATAATAGTGTGAATGATTAATGGGAGAACTGGGTACAGGGCATCTCAAAATACATCTTAACAGGTAAATAAACACCGCTTTTCCCCTTTTTTTTACTATAGTTATTTTATGAAGAGCATTTGTAGTTATTTGAGGAGTTCAGCTATTGTTTGCAAATTGTTATAATGAGTGACTATGTAGTTTAATTAAAATATCACTAAATTAGTGCTGTACTTTAAAGCCCTATGTTTTTTTCATGTTCAGGAGGAATGGGATGCTGGAGACAACATCCAGTTGTGATTAGAAAACCTGTGATTAAGATACGCTAGATACCTGAAAGCTGTTGTGCCACTCTCATAATGTAAAAGAGCCTTTGCACTAAAACTGAAAAATTAGAACTGTATTTTGTCGTGGTGGTTGCAAAATGTTTTATCAGCAGCCAACTTTTTACGTCAGGTCGGTGCTTGGTGTGCGCTGTTCTGTAGAGCATCTCGAAGACACCTGCTCATCTCTACACAGCAAGACTGTATCTTTGTGATGGTTAGAGAGCTAACCTGAGAGCTAAATGGGCTGAGAGGAAAGGATAATGAGGCTGAAGGCACCTTTGCATAACTTTCAAGCTTGCTACAGAGTTCCTTAAGGAGACATCAGAAGAGCCTTCACCTGCACTTTACCAAAGGGAGAAAATGCAATTTGAAGTTGCTTTACTTAAGAAAGTACCTCTTCAAATTAGAGTCAAGTTAGTACTTTTAGTATCCCAAGTTTGTGCTGTTTTTTTTTTAACTGAACTTCTGACCTCTTTCCAGACTAGACGTGACATGCCCTGTTTTTATTGCAAAGAGGAGGAGAAGAAAGCTTTCTTTAAAAAACCTGGACTTTAGATGCAGTAAATGTAATCAAAATAATGAGAACTCTTTCTATTACCTGTCCTTCGTTTGATGTTTCCTCTTTCTAGGTTCCTATTACAGAACAGGCCTCCCTCCCTCCGCCAGCAGGAAAAATTCCTCTGAGTTGGGTTAGACTGTAGGTCTTTCTTTTGTTTTATTTGTTTATGTACATGTAGCAGATACCCACAAAGGTTTGCTAGGGAACATATGCAGTGGCATTTATTGGTAAGGACGCATGTTCATTTGGGATCTTGTTAAAACCATGAAAATCCACTGTGAATGTAAAAGCCTGGGACAGAGGATTTCAGTGTAGTGATAGAATAAACTGAGCTTTTTCCTTCTGTGCCATTCTGTGGACTTCCTCTCAGCAGCAGAAAATCAGGAAGTTTATGTTTGGGTTTTATTGGAATACCTGAGATTATTGTGGGCTTTTTGTTTTGATTTTCAAAATACACATAGTTTTCACAGAACCGGGTGATTCACTTATGGAGAAGAATTTACAAAGGCTTCTTAGCTCCAATTGAGTATTTTTACCTGTACAGCTTTATTTAAATATATATATATACATGTGGGCAGGCACGCATGTGTGGTCACTGTAGTAGGTCCCGTGTGCTGAGTGCTGTAGAGCATTTTGCCAAAGAGGTTGCTGCAGCTGGCCTGGGGGATGTCTTGGCGGGTGAACTGAACTCTGCTGGTGTGACAGCAAGCATCCAAGACCATGGAGAAAATGGCTGGATTTGTTAGACCTGTTGATGAGAAGTGAAGTTAAACCCTGTACAAGCTGCCTTGAGCTTGAAATTGATAGCCTGTGATCTATTAGGTAGCTTATTTCGATCTTTGAAATTAATCTCTGGCCATCATGGCCCGGTGGGTGAGGAGTGCGGCATGGTGTCTGGGCATCTTTGGTTAGCTTGACAAGACATGGGATGTATCTGGAGAATGTGTACCCATTTCTGGACTGCATCTTTTATGATCCGTGGATGAAAATGTCATGTAAACATCCATTTCTGTGGTTTGTCTTTCTCCTTTAGTCCTTAGAAGTCTCCTTCCGAAGTTGATATGTGGTTTGGGGGGCTATTACCCAAATAGGTTTGGTAGTGCAGTGTTATGCTCACTTTTCAGAAAATACCAGGCAATTTAATAGCAAAGAATGTTTTACTCAACTGAAATTTAAAAGTTAATATTTTGTTAAGTATGGGTATCATTCTCTCAATGCGTTTTATAACCAAAAACTTGCTGTTTTGTCTAGATCAGTGGTGGTGTTGCATTTTGCTTGGTGCCTTCTTGCATTATGGACAGAAATGGACTGAGCCAAGACTCGCTATTTGCATGTGCTGCTTAATCTCTCCCCATTCCCACAATTTTTATGGGAGCTACAGCTAAGTGGACGTGAGGGCTTTCAAATTCTATGGAGAAGGGAACCCTTCCTCTGAAATCATGTAGTGTTTCTCTTTTCTGAAGAGCTGAAGTGCCCATAGCACTTAAGGCTTTGTGTAATTGGAGACATAAATGCAGTTTTTACGTACTTTACTTAAAATGGAAACTAAGAAGTTAATAATAGCTCTTTTTGGGGATATTTATGTAATGGAAGGCAACATATGCTATTTGCATCTTGAAGAGCTGATGTACAAAATATTATGTCAGGGCCCTGGCAGGTTTTGTGCTGGCAGAGGCTAGGTCAATGGGAGTGGGAGATGCCAGAGATCTGTAGGGCTTGATGGCACCTCTGGAAAGTGAGATAACTATATGAAATTTTGCATTTTAGCACACAGCTGATTTTAATTAATCACTGCCATTAAAATGTGTGATAATTGATTTCTTTTATATTTATTCATGTTGAATGATCAATTACACCTGTCACTTTAAAATTACTTTTCTTAATAGTATCTTCTAGCTGCAACTGCACATCTGATGTTCAGAACCCCTAAAAAGTGTGTCTGTAGATAGTATTTTTCATTGATACTTTGACTTATTTTGTCTACAAGAAGGTACCTGGCAAAGAAATTTTGGAAGTGTAGTGTGACAGTCTGGATGTTGCCTTCTGTGTAAAGATGCTGATGTAATTACCAAGCACCTCCCTGTTTCCCTGGGCTGTTCACACTTTCATATTTATTTCTTTCCAAGTCGCTCTTTTCTAGATGACATCTGAACTTTTTCAGCACTTAATATTTTATTTCAGTGTATAGGAGACCAAGAATGTGGGGATTAGAGCAGTTTGGGATGTGTGATCTTGGACCTAACGAAAGGTCCTCCATTTGTAGAGCTGTAATGCGAGTTTTACTCGGATTTAAAGAAGTGGAAGAGACCCTGAGCTGTGAGTGTGACTGCGGAGGCTCCACTGGCACTTGCTAAGTTGCCCTCTTCAGAGGAGCAGGAGAAGGTGGGAAGATAAACTCATGACTGCTGATGTTATTTGTTATAATTTTCTCCGGGATTAAATGCTGGGATGCTTGCCTTAGCTTGTAAAACTTTGAAAACTTTGGAGTGCTTTCCCTCTTTAAAGTACACCTGTTACAGCATTAGATTATGGAGCTGTATTTCTTGCTTGGATTGAATGCTGAACATAACATATCATGTTGTTAATGCCTCCTTGTGTTTTAATTAGAGCTGTAGAAGATGTTAAAAAAACAAGTTTATACACATGCCTGATTGGTTGCTAAACTGAATATGCTTGTCACACAGTCTTGAGGGAATTGTGTAGTATTTTGCTAATCTACTGTCTAGGGCTTCCCCAAGCCCTCTTTCTTCTCAACCTTGCTCTAAACCTTCTTCCCACCTTGTTCTAAAAAATTCTTGCTTCAATGTTTTCTGAGAGTCTGTCTTATCTGCTTAAAGCTCCTGACTGTGTGGTAGCCTTTGCTGGTGAAAGGCTCAGGCCCTTGCTCATGTCCTACAGAGCAGTTTCATGCCTGCACAAGTGGTTTTGATGCACAGCAAGTCCAACAGCTTCTGAGGGTTAGTGGTGTGCAGTGGGTGAGTAAAGGGTGGGAATGCTTGGGATCCTCCAGAGGGATGGGTGGTACTCCACACACCAAGCTCTGCAAAGTGAAACAACTGACCAGGAACATTTATGAGAAATAGTTCTGTGCGGCTCTTAGGAAGTGTTTTCCAAGCTGTGTTTTACATTTTCAGGCAGTTCTTGATCTGGAGTATGCTGTTGGGTTGATGACAGGATAGTGAGAGGAAAACTTCTGCATAGGAGAAGTTCTGCCTGTGTGCTAACTAGCTTTTAATTGTGCTATATAGTTTATCACATAATACTGGATGACTGAAATTCTTTAAATATGCAAATAAATTATGTATTGGCTACAA